GAATTTCTCTCGCCGACTGCTGATATATCGACGCCCGAGCAAGCAAAGAAAATGCCCCTTTTACCCCTCACCTCGCCGTTCCGTCGTTCGTCACGATACGTCCTCTTAGCTGCCCGACTCTGTCCACGTATACTCGTCTATTTATCTACTTATCTCGTGCATCTTTCCATTCGCTTATGCGCGTAATTGCTTACTCGACTATCCGGTTATTTGCGTATTCACCTAGACAGCTGTCTGTATATTCATATGATTACTCATCCGCTCAGTAGACTATTCTCTTAACAAGCTGTTAATTTAGTTATCCGTTTACCTCGTCGTTTCCTATACCTTTTCAGCTGCGTTCTTTTCTCATCCGATTGCATCACGTTTACCACGATTATCCGAACAATGGAACCAGATTCTTGGTTAGACGGATATCTACCAGGTGTCGACCTGTAAGGATCCGGTGTACGATACGATGAGAACGGGTCTTATCGTACAAGACGGGCGTCTTTTTACCGACCGCTAGCTTGATGCGAGCAAAACTCGTTTATAGGTTAAAGCTAGTTGACTCCTAAATCCTAACCAATTTATTTGTGCGAACACTTTTGTATCCGTTAATATTCGATGATAATTGTTTGTCTTTAGATCAACGTCGGTTTTCTCTGTTTCGAACGACTGTAATATCGCGAACGAGTCTGAGTGATACGGTAATTAAACGTACAATGATTAATTCTCTTCGTTGTACAATTTAGTAACATGTATTCGTCGCGTTCTTCCGTTGGATATATCCGTGAATATTTGTCCTCGTAGCCGAACGCAACGCTAGTGTCGTGTCATGAAGGTAATTTTGGCATAAATCGCTATTTACAATTTACGTATTTATTGATACTAGGTAGGGACGTGAAAACGTAGTTTATAAAACGAAAAATACTATAAACTTTACATATAGCGAGTTTTGCAAATGGAAAAGTCTTTTACCGTTAAACGGAGTTATTTTTTACTAGTAGGCGCGATAAATTTGGTAAGAAATTTGTAAATTGTAGTTACATCTCGATTTAGCGAGTTAACCTTCGGACTGCGAACGTGGATCACTTCTGACCCTTACTAGTTGAGGTTAGGTTTTCTAGCAGCATTTTGAATACGAGTCATTTACATATAATAAAGTTGTACGTAAGTTCATAGATATAAATTAAATGACAAGGAATAACAAAAAATGCTATTATAGAACCTAACCTCAACTGGTATAGGACGGAAGTGAACCCAGGTCCGCCATTCTTTAAGTATGGAATTTGGAATCCATAAAATTAACGAGTTTTGTAGATCTAGCGTCGAACATGTCGGTGAAATTGTTTATGAAGTATAATCTACAATAAAAATGTTTGGTTATTAAATATTTTCCTCTATGGAACGAACAATCCTCTTCTTTAATTATTTTTCGAATCTCTTGAAAGGAACGGAAATTTCTAGATGTACACGTTAAAGTAAACACCCTGTATAGTAGAACGGATATATTACTTTATATTTGCTTTATTAATCACGGTCAGTCTTCAACTAGTCAAATATCGGCAATGTCATGTGGTACGACCTAATACAAAGGGAAGTGGTCGATCGTGAAAATTATTTTAACAGGAAGAATGGAAAATTAATAATAATGAGCAGATGCGATAGGCTATTGGGAACTGCTTTTGTTTTTAGAATACCATTGGTAGGTACTTTATTTTTATAATTTTCTTCATAAAATGTCAATTATATACACTTTAATACTTCATCTTAAATGATAGGATACGAATATTTTTGTTTCCAGCAAATGTTATTCTTATGTAAATTTTGATTTACTTTTTTGTGTAAAATTATCTTCAAGGTTTATTTGCAACGCTTTTTTAAATATTTACAGACAACGAATATACATGGTGTTTGGTAAATGATGATACAAGTAGCAATTATCGTCACTCTATGTGGTAAAGTGAATTGAAAATATACAATTAAATTTTGTAGCATGTAAAATTGTCTGTTAAAGATTCTAACATCGGTTGCCAAATATCCCGTGTATATTTTTAAACGTAATTATTTATATAGAAAATATAAATCTTTTTATTTCCACATCTGACTAAATAAATATGAAAACGTTAATTTTTCGAGTTATAACCACATTTTCTTTATGATAGAAGTTGGGAATAAATAGTGTCTTTCAAGCTCGAAGTAGCGTTATCACTTAATTTATGTCTTAAGTAAATAGTAATAGAACTTGGAATTGGTTAGGTCGATTTGACATTGGAATCTACGTCGTACGTTCCACCCGAGATACGTAATCAATAATGGTCCACGCATGATAGAACTCTAACAAACACACCTTAGTCGAGCTGCTTAGGAACCTCTTAATAAGAATTGTGAGGACAAATGAAAATTCTAGATATATGTACGTAGAATACGATTTATTCGGTCAACATTTCGGCTAGTTTTTTCCGTAACTTCTTCAAGTACAAAAATAAACTAAAAGAAAGTTTGAATATACACTCATACAGGAAAGTATTTGAACATTTATAACATTCATATACATATACTCAATTGAGGCATTTGATATACAGTGGTGTTCAGCCACCTCTGAGAAAAATTTTAATGGGAGATTCTAGAGACCAAAATAAGACAAAAATCAAGAATACCAATTTGTTGCTGGAGGTTTCGTTAAAAAGTTATTAACATTCAAAGTTCCGCCCGTAATGAATTTTTTTCTCCAAAATGCGCAAGATTTCGGGGGTATGTCTATTCACCAAAAATGATTGTAATTGAACCTCGCAACCGAAAATAATGTTTCCAAAACGATTTTAAATTTTGTAATTTTGTCGGAAAATTTCACACATTTCTCGAATTTTTTTCTCGAAACTGCGTAGGATTTCGAGGGTGTATCTATTCACCAAAAATGATTGTAATTGAACCTCGTAACGGAAAATAATTTTTCCAGAACGATTTGCATCTTTTCATTTTCGCCGAAAAATTTAGGCCCTACTCCGTCGATTTTTCTTAAAAATTCGTTTCTAATTTTTAATAATTTTTTTTTAATACCCTACAGAAAAGTTGTCTAATACTTTATTGTAGGTACCCACGAACTCTGCGACAGAAAAAAGTTTCATTGAAATATATTCACTATTGTAGGAGTTGTAGACGTTTGAAAATTGGACCATTTTTGTGGGGTTCTTTTTATTTTGCGGAGTCAAGGAACAACTTTTCGAATATTTTTACAACTTTTACATATTCTCCACTAAAATACGCGTCGTTTGCATTTTGAAACATTAAAATCGTCCAATCCGTTCAAAAGTTATAACATTTTAAAGATTCGCATGAAATTTCAGGGAAGCATTTCTGATTAGAAATTCCAGAGATTAGATTTTCGGTAAAGAATTTTTTTCTCGAAAATGCGTAGGATTTCGGGGTATATCTATTCACAAAGAATGCTTGTAATTGACCCCTGTAACTCAATATAATTTTTTTAGTATGATTTAAAATTTTTTAATTTCGTCTAAAAATTTCAATACCTACTCGAATTTTTTTCTCGAAACTGGGTAGGATTTCGAGGGTATGTCTAATGACCAAAAATTATTGTAATTGAGCCCCGAAACCAAAAATAATTTCTTCAGAATGGCTTCAAATTTTTTAATATAATTTTTTAATAACTTTTTAATAACGCTTCAGTCAAGAAATTAGTATTCTTGATTTTTGTCTTATTTTAGCCTCTAGAATTTCCCATTAAAATTTTCCCCAGGGGTGGCCGAACACCCCGTATGATAACAAAGAGTCTTAGTAACTACGTAAATAAAATTAATGCAGTTGACAAAGTGTTAAGATAAGCAACAGTACAATTTCTTTAGCATAGATAATAATAGTTATATTAGTTTACTAATTAGTCCTCTTCTTACTCTAGTATCCTCCAAAGCGTAGAGCATGGCAGTTTGGGGTGGGTGTGCAAACGAATATTTTTAATGTAGAAAAATGTGGATAACTTAATCATTTTTTTTTCTCTATTAATACATTAATCAACACAATTTAATAACAATTGTGGTACATCTGTCTTGCATGAATATAAACCTGTCGCTTATCTGGGGTACAGAAAAATTTTAATGGGAGATTCTAGAAGACAAAATAAGACGATAATCAAGAATACCAATTTGTTGATGGAAGCTTCGTTAAAAAGTTATTAACAATTAAATTCAAAAATTTCAAATCGTTTTGGAAAAATTATTTCCCGTTGCAGGAGTCAATTACAATCACTTTTGGTCATTACAGATACACCCGAATTCCTACGCACTTTCGAGAAAAAAATTCCTTACTGAAAATCTAATTAGGTGCCTAAATTTTTCAACGAAAAAAAAAATTTCAAATCGTTCTGGAAAAATTATTTTCGGTTGCGGTGGTCAGTTACAATCATTTTTGGTGAATAGACATACCCCCGAAATCTTGCGCATTTTTGAGAAAAAAATTCAGTACGGGCGGAACTTTGAATGTTAATAACTTTTAACGAAGCCTCCATCAAAAAATTGGTATTCTTGATTTTTGTCTTATTTTGGTCTCTAGAATCTCCTATTAAAATTTTTCCCAGGTGTAGAACACCCCGTATAAGGAAAGAAAATATTGTAATCAAAAAGAATTTCGATAAATATTTTTGTTCACGGGAAAACACGTTTCAAAATCCCCGCCCACATTCTGACTATTTAAAAAAATGTTTTTTTGTTTGATGTATGTATGTATGTATGTATTTTAACATAATCGAAACGGTTGAATGTATTTCAATGAATTTTCATGTTTAAGTATTCTATTCTCATTTCAAGATGCGATTAGATTTTGATATGATAAATATATTCTTTATCTGCAAAAATTCTAAGAAAAATGTTTCATATAAATCTTACTTATAAATTTTCAATGGAAAAAACATATTAAATAAACGTTTTCTCTGTATGCTTTAATAATGCTTTGTAATAAAGTGCCCGAAAAATTTCTGACATATTCATTTCTGTTAATTCTTTTAGGGGGGCACCTTCCAAACAGATTGGAAACCACTGACTCGCGCGATTAATTCGTTCCGGAGCTTGCGCGTAAGTCGAATTGTATAAATACGATGTATTCCTGGAAGAAAGAAAGATCAGTTTCACGGTGAACGTGATGCTGTACCGTAGGTATGGCGGATGTGGACAGCGTCCAATAATTTTTATTGAGAAAAATTTGTCAGGCTGCAGCTTTAACAAAGTTCTGATTAAATATGACAGGATTTCTTCCAGAGCTGATCTTTCTTTCTCTCTGAAATACATTTGGTATACAATTTTAGTTACAAAAATCCATACCTATTCTTTTCTGAAAAGGAAATTTAACTAAAAATACTTTATTCAGTTATGTAAATACATATATGTACCGTATTAAAAATATGTAGAAGGCCATGAGTAGTAATACAATTGCATATCTACAAATCTGTTCATCTCGTAGACTTGCTGCATGTCATATGTTCAAGACGTGTCCATCCTTAGCATCCGTAACGTACAGAGTGTTCAGTAATAACGATACAACCGGAAGGAATGCCATCCCTATGTCAAAAAATTGGTCTCGAGTGTAAAATATAATTTTTTATTTACTCATGCATATTAATAAAAGCGAATTAAATTAGATAAGATCAGATTAGATTATATGATACAACTGTATATTGAACAGAACAAATCTAATTGGATACTTATGACTGATAATAATTATGCTACGGTAATATCTAATTTTAATCTTTAAATGAATTTATTTTCTTCAAAAGAAAAGAGAGATTGTTGAATAGACAGCGTTAAGGTCACTTCAAGGTCATTTACATTTTTTTAAATAAAACTTAATATATTTTGTTCCTCGGTTTCATAGAGTGTAACGATACTAGTATTTATAAAATTGTAAACAATGGTACTTTAATTAGAAATGTAAACTAACGAGTTAACAAGGATATGTTACGTTCGAATAATAGTTTTTTGATGGTAAAACATTCGAGTAACGGACGATCTTGTAAAGAAGATTGTAAAAATTCTATAAATAGCGTGCCAATTAAATTTCGATAGCGTGACTAGGTCTCTTTACATCCAACTTCATCATCCCATGGAACGTACTTACTATGGTATCTACTTCCTGTTACTTTGGAGAAATATAGTTCGACGACGTCGATAATAATCATTGGCGTTAAAATGCCATGAAAAATTCTTAAGCGCAACTTCGTTAAAAAGTGATACATAAAAAAAGAATGATATAGATCTCTAAACAATGGCAAAATTATAATTATGATGTAGTTGAACTCGTATCGTTACTCTCTATGAACACGAGGAAAGAATATACTGTGTCCCATTTCAAATTAACACGTACGAATACATCTCAATATTTCCTAACGCGTCTCTTTAACATCGTTTCGATCGAAAAAAACAATCATTTAAGCAAACCAATACTGAGATTTATTTAGAACATTTTGTAGAATTTTTATAAACAACAAATACAGGGTGTTCGGCCAACCCTGGGAAAAATTTTAATGGGGGATTCTAGAGGTCAAAATAAGTCGAAAATCAAGAATACCAATTTGTTGCTGGAGGCTTTGTTAAAAAGTTATTAACAATTAAATTAAAAAATTTCAAATCGTTCTGGAAAAATTATTTCCCGTTGCAGGAGTCAATTACAATCACTTTTGGTCATTACAGATACACCCGAATTCTTACACTCTTTCGAGAAAAAAATTCCTTACCGAAAATCTAATTAGGTGCCTAAATTTTTCGACGAACAAAAAAAATTTCAGATCGTTCTGGAAATTTATTTTCGGTTACGGGGATCAATTACAATCATTTTTGGTAAATACACATACCTCCGAAATCCTGCGCATTTTCGAGAAAAAAATTCATTACGGGCGGAACTTTAAACCTTAATAACTTTTTAACAAAGCCTCCATCAACAAATTGGTATTCTTGATTTTAGTCTTATTTTGGCCTCTAGAATCTCCCATTAAAATTTTTCGCAGGAGTGGCCGAACACCCTGTATATGCTAGACGACCCAAAACCCTATAATATCATTATCTATGGACCTATATTGCTGAAAAACTGATTAGATCTTGAAATGAAAATATAGAACCCAAATATAAAGTTTCATTACAATCCATTCAACCGTTTTGATACCATACCTGTTTTTTGTATTTAGAAATGTCCTCGACATTTTCTCAAATTTTAGTACGAAAAACAGAAATATTAGATATTTTGTTGCAGTTCTTGTCATTTTATATCGCCATTAATGACATTAACATAATAAAAAATTTATAACTATTGAAATTCAGATGTTCCAAGTGTTTGAAGGATACGTTGTAAACTTGAAACGGCGGCCATTACTAAGCACTATGGCAATCGATGAGTGATTATTGGTGGCGAAACAATAATGAGAATTTTAATACGTGCCTTTTCGTAAAGAAACATGTTTTTCTAAATTTTACCCGATTACAATACTTTCCTTTCTTATAAGTCAAAAAGTAAAAATATAAGTGACCTTGAAATGACATTGATGTTTCTGTCCATTAATAAAAATTCATTATTTATGTGTTTTAACATAATAACTAAATGCCTGTTACATATCCAATAGCGTTCAAAATAATTATTGATAATTACCAGTTGATTTTGCTCCTGTGGAAACGCTTAGAATATCAAGTCACAACCTCAGAGAACATGCGAAAAATAATTCTGCGTCCATGTGCCTAACTCTGAGCCATATCATAAGTCAGACACGATCAATCGGTTATGGTATCCGAAAATGTATGGAAGATAGTGATAATTATTTTGAACATTTTAACCAAAACACAATAAACGTTATTTATGATCGAGATTTTTTGTTTTTGGTTACTTATAATAGTTAACGACGAGAAAAAATTTTCCAATCGATCCTAATCGTTATCGATGACGGAAATACTTTTTGTCACTTGCCATCGACCAACCAAATTTTACGTTATAGTTTACGTTTCGTTATTGCTAATAAAACTTATGGTTCAAATTGCATGAGCCAAGATAGGTTGAGAAACACTGGTATAGTGGGCACAGTATTGAAAGTAAGGGTTCATTCATACGGATACGCGGGAGCTGACCTTAAGAGTGACGGGGCAACTTCTAGCATGAAGGCTCTTCCGCTTGCTCGCATGAAAGAGCTCTTATTCTCGATACCAACTCTCAAGAATCATGCTCTCAAGTGGACACCGGACATTATAGACCTGTCACTAGAGATTTAAAAAATAATTGGAAGTAGACAATTCATTGCACTTGCAGATACATTGGGCTGGCTAATTAGTAATGTTGAATATAACAAATTACATTAATACAATAATACAAAGCGTTAACAAAACATAATAAACGGCATAATACAATACAATTAAACCACCTTAAATAGTTTACAAATCAACTATTGTATAAAAAATGTTTTAGGTAATAGTTTCTTGAATGGACTTATTTAGAAAATGAATGACGAGAAGATGTACACTACCGGTCATAGATATTAGGACACTTGAAAAGAATAATCCTCCTGGGTTCACTTTAAAGGTTCAATTTTTATAGGTACTTTGATATTAGAAAGTGAATAAGAATGTGAATGTGGTTTTAGTCTAAAAGATGTTATAAATTCAAACGACTCTCAAAGTTGTGATTCAAAATCTTTGATACGTTGTTTAATACAATTCCTTATATTAAACAAAAAATAATTACTGTTTCATACCGAAAATTCTGACATTATTTTTGAACCGACCCAAAAGATGTGAATATAATGCAATTCTACTTTGTGGAAGGACTATGTCTCTAATCTATCAAGTACTTCATACTTTATTGATAAATGAACGTCTAAACATTAACGTTGAATACCTTGATAACTTTGAAACGAGCTGTTGCTTGGTCTAATGATAAATTAAACGCGAAGTTTTAGTCTTTGAAGTATAAGATAAGCGTGTATTAAACATACAAATTTCGACATCCATTTTAGGTCCTCTTCGGTACAGTATTTCTATAATTATACAGGGTGTTCGGCCATCCCTGGGAAAAATTTTAATGAGAGATTCTAGAGGCCAAAATAAGACGAAAATCAAGAATACCAATTTGTTGACTGAGGCTTCGTTAAAAAGTTATTAACAATTAAATTACAAAATTTCAAATCGTTCTGGAAAAATTATTTTCGATTGCGGGGGTCAATTACAATCATTTTTGGTCATTACACATACCTCCGAAAACCTACCCACTTCTGAGAAAAAAAATCGGGTAGGTGCAGAAATTTTTCGGCAAAAAAAAATTTTTCAAATTGTTCTAAAAAAATTATTTTCGATTGCGGGGGTCAATTACAATCACTTTTGGTCATTATACATACCCCCGAAATCCTACGCACTTTCGAGAAAAAAATTCCTTACTGAAAATCTAATTAGGCCCCTAAATTTTTCGACGAAAAAAAAATTATTTTCGGTTGCGGGAGTCATTTACAATCATTTTTGGTGAATAGACGTACCCCCGAAATCCTGCGCATTTTCGAGAAAAAAATTCAGTATGGATGGAACTTAAACGTTAATAACTTTTTAACAAAGCCTACATCAACAAATTGGTATTCTTGAGTTTCGTCTTATTTGGGCCTGTAGAATCCCGCATTAAAATTTTTTCCAGGGGTGGCCGAACATCCTGTATAACATTAAAAAAATGGTTAAATATATATAATTTAAGATAAAAGATGAAACTTCTAATAAAAATGAATTCTACAAAATATGAAAAATCCAGTTACGTAATACGATTCTTGATGAATAAGTTGAATTAAATAGTCATGTGAAATCGTCTAACTTATGTATTTTCACAGGTTGTAATATTAAATATAAAACCTTTTGTACATACAATAAAATGTAAGATTTTTATTATTACTAGGTATTAAGATATATAATTTACATAGTTTTAATAAGGACAATTTAATTTAATTTGTCAGTCAAGAGCCTCGTTATGTAAGTGGATTTTTAGTATCTCTCCATGCATACGGGTTAAGTGGGATACCCTGGTATCATAAAAATAGAAAAAAGTGAACAATTCGGGAAACCGCTGA